AAATCGAATTATTAAAATATTTGTTTTATAAAACCATTCATCATCCACAATTACTAAATATTTCTCAGGGGTAGGTCCGACTCTGTGGTTGCAGAGATTTATTTGTTTCTCGCCAGACGGCGCTGCGATACGAGCTCGTCCGATTTTACCAATATGGTCACTTGTTATTTATGCTTGTGTAAAGTTTAAACCAAAAGAAAAGCGAAAAAGTGCAAACAAAGAACATTTATTTATAAGGAAGAAACAAACGCAAGTTCTGCCAAAACACAAGGAACAATTAAATATTAAAGTGTATTAAAAAAATAATTTACGAGGCATGGAAATTTGAGGTTATACCAGATAAGTACATTTTTATATTTTGTTTGTACCTGACAACAATGAAATATTTTATAAGATTCTTCCAAGAAATCATTAGGTTTCATTCACAAGGTTCGTAGTAATAGCTAGTTGATTCACTGTTAATATTTAGATTTTAAATTATTCATTTTGATTACTTTTAGCTGCGAGACGAAACCATATGATTCCTTTTCTATTTAAATTAAAATTCCGAATGACATATAAATTTCTTACTTGAGCTGTCTATTTCGTTCAATTTGATTTTAACAAAATCTAAAATGCTCAAATAAGGAGATATTTATTTGTCGTTCAAGTTAAATGTTAAAATTCATTATAAAAAAAATTAAGATTCAATTCTTTTTTAAAATAGAACTTTTATCAAAGTTTATAGGCCTTTCATATTGTTAATTTTTGCAAAATATTTAAGTTTTTGTTACCTGAGATCTCATTTTTAATGTTTTAGCGCAAGAATATCACTTTTATGCACAGCTTGGAGAATCCTATGTCCAGTCTTGTAGAAATGTGTACCCTTTCTGGTTCAAAGCACCACAGCAACGTTTGTGAAGGAAAAAAATAGACTCTGTGATGTGATTTTGCAACGAAAATCACTTGTAGAATGGAAAATAGGTAATTTTCTACCCAATTTTCAGAAGAGATTTTTTTAAATTCTGATTTTTTTCTTTCTTCCACCACACTGTCCCAATTGTTCAAACAGTTTCCATGGAAACCGAACCGAAAACTCTCACATATTCCCTAATCAAGTCACTTTTGTCAGGTAAGTTGATGTCTTAATTTTAATAATTAAAATGTCAGGTTATATACAGGGGGAAACAAAAGTATTGTCTTTTTCTTGGCTTTCACTAATAAAAGTGTTTCTTGTTTTGTTATCACTTTTTTAAATGTAAATGAATCATTTAAACACTTATTCTACTTCTTAAAACTATTTACAAGTATTTACAAACTCAATAAAATATGTGTTTTGTTGTCAGGCATAAAGTTTCTTAATTTTCTCTTATTAAGTTGAGTTTATTAGTTTAATTTGTTTATTGATCGTTAACCTACATGCTTCTATCTATTTATCATTTTTTTCTAATTATTTAATGTTATAAACTTTATTCTTTGTAGATTTCCTGCACTTATTTGGAGAAAACTGTTTCCTGTGGATTTTTTTAACGGCTTGACTGATACTATGATACTACCAGTGAGATCAGTCTTATTTGTATGTAATATTCTCAAGTACTCATTTACAGGTTGCAAATTATTGTTTTATTTGTACTTCACAAACCTGTTAAAGCAACATTGTAAGTATTACGTTATTAGTAAAAATTTTTGTATTATTATTTTATTCATAATTATTCTCATTATTTGAGATTTATTTCGTCTTTTCTTCTGGTCAAACTAATTCATTTGACTAAAAATGATGCACATTATTTATTAATTATTGTTACTTCCTTAATTATACATGATTTTGCGTTAATTTTCTTTAATTTCAACTTATAGATTTTATTGACCGTTACAATATGTATGTTTCAAAAGTAAAATTCTCCTTGAAATCTTATTACAAAATCATATTTTCTGTGTATCCTTTATTTTGCACAATTTGACTGTGTACACCGTACATACTTTTTATTACTTATCCATATAAATTTAAACAGTAAACAGTTACCTAGCTGAACAGTTAACCGATTAGGCCGATATACATACAAAATTGATTTGGTCCAGCATCGAAAAGGTTCCAATGTTAGTATGATACGCTCGTCAAAATGCTGACATGGCCCTAGTTTCTTTTAATGATCTATCTTACTATTTAAGATAAAATTATGACTTCACAATCATTAGAATCCTTAAGTGTGTATCTAGTAATAAACAAGAATACATTTTTACGAATTTTTGCACAGTTTTTATGATATCGGTGTATATAAATAAAAAATCGGTAAAATAGGCAGTTTTTGGACGTATCAGAGATAAATGAGTATTAATATAATTTTGTGCCATTTACGACCAAACAAATTTGAAATTTTGTGTCTAACAGGATACACAGTAAAATTTTGATTTTTTATTATTTCTCTAAGGATAATTTTTACATTTGAAACATATATTAAACTTTCTTTTTGAGAATAACTCGCTTTTCTCAGGACGATTTTTGGACAACCTATGCCATTAAAATCTAGAAATCAAAAACTACTATTTCGACAACTCGCAATAAAATACCAACGAAAATTTAAACTAAGCGATTTTAACCCTCCGCCGCTTAACAGTATTTACGTGACAACTAGGACACTAGATACCTCTAGTTTATTTACTAGACTTTTTTTCGGTCAAAGTATTTCTGAAAGGCTATAGATTGGCGCAATATATTTTTTAAAATCGGTTTCAGCAGCCTTTTTTGAGAAAACTCGATTTTTAATGAAAAAGATACCTTTTCTTTTACTTTTTTGCTTGTAACTTGCGCATTTTACATTTTCTCGGCTTGTCAAAAGTAAATTTCAATGGGAAAATGTCCGCTCTACAAAAAAGCATCAATGAATTTTTTCTCTAAAATCAGCAGATTTTGAGTTAAATGAGATCTCAAATCGGCTGATTTTAGAGAAAAAAGTCATTGATGCTTTTTTGTAGAGCGGACATTTTCCCATTGAAATTTACTTTTGGCAAGCCGAGAAAATGTAAAATGCGCAAGTTACAAGCAAAAAAGTAAAAAAAAGGTCACTTTTTCATGAAAAATCGAGTTTTCTCAAAAACGGCTGCTGGAACCGATTTTAAAAAATATATTGCGCCAATCTATAGTCCTTCAGAAATACTTTGACCAAAAAAAAGTCTAGTAAATAAGCTTTTCATTTAAAGTTGGTTCCCAAGCACCGTATCGCCATTAACTCAAAATCGGCTGATTTTAGAGAAAAAATTCATTAATGCTTTTTTGCAGAGCGGACATTTTCCCATTGAAATTTACTTTTGGCAAGCCGAGAAAATGTAAAATGCGCAAGTTACAAGCAAAAAAGTAGAAAAAAGGTCACTTTTTCATGAAAAATCGAGTTTTCTCAAAAACGGCTGCTGGAACCGATTTTAAAAAATATATTGCGCCAATCTATAGTCCTTCAGAAATACTTTGACCAAAAAAAAGTCTAGTAAATAAGCTTTTCATTTAAAGTTGGTTCCCAAGCACCGTGTCGCCATTAACTCAAAATCGGCTGATTTTAGAGAAAAAATTCATTTATGCTTTTTTGCAGAGCGGACATTTTCCCATTGAAATTTACTTTTGGCAAGCCGAGAAAATGTAAAATGCGCAAGTTACAAGCAAAAAAGTAAAAAAAAGGTCACTTTTTCATGAAAAATCGAGTTTTCTCAAAAATGGCTGCTGGAACCGATTTTAAAAAATATATTGCGCCAATCTATAGTCCTTCAGAAATACTTTGACCGAAAAAAAGTCTAGTAAATAAGCTTTTCATTTAAAGTTGGTTCCCAAGCACCGTGATATAACTTGGTAACAACGTATATTGTTCCGTCTCTGTAATATCTATATCAGTGTTGCCCTCTTTTGATTCACGTACCAACTCTAATTAGCAATATTTGTAGTTACAGAAAATTATAATGTTTAGCGATAATTTTCGACAATTTTTGTGCTATCGCAACTCCATCTTGCGTTCGCGAAACGTGACTTTTGTAGGGTAATATAAATTGAGTTACAAGTTAATGATTATGGCACCAGGACCTTCAAGTTCAAGGGCCAGTAAGCAGTGATCCCAGATCTCACGATTTATCATGAGATCTCACGATTCAGTAGTGAGTCTCACGATCTCACGATAATGCGCCTGATCCTCACTATATTTTTTAACAAGCTACTTGCAGAAAAGAGCTTTAAGTTTTTATGTAAAAACGATTCTTTTTAATTAATCAAACAATTTAATTATGCTGTAGAGTCCGACCCTGCAACTTGACATTCCCTAGAAAGTGGTCGGATACTTTCCATATCGATATTTTCCAAAAGTTTCAAGAGTTACTATCAATAGTACTATCGAAACTATACCAACATTGATTCAACGGTTGATACGTAGTATACTAAAGTAATACAAGAAGAATATTTAAAATAAATTTTTTTAAAAAAAAACAAGAACCTGTAGGTGTGCAGAGACATAAAAAAACAGGTGGAGGCAGGATTCACATTTGTGGCGTGCGTATGTTAAAAAATTAGTTAGGGAAATTTTTAAAACAGATTTATTATCTAGTGCATTCTTGGTTTATTTTTAATTTTAGTTTTTTTGATCGAATTCCTTGAAAATGAATTTGAAAACTACTAAAAACATGTAAATTTAAACTATCGGTTAATTACTTAAAATAATCGATAGTTTTTGGTAGTAACACACTATTGATAATATCGATAGTGCTATTAGTAATTATTTTTTGTCTTTATCATACGGACAAAGTACATAAAAATCGAAAATACTATATCTATTTCGCTAAACTGCGCATGTGAAGTACAATCTAACGATTTCTCACGATTTTTTCACCAATTTAGGCTCAGTACATCTGGGATCCCTGTCAGTAAGTTAAAGAGTTGCAGTGCTTTAAACGGAGTAGGTTGTTAGCAAGGGGACCAAAGGTTAAAAAAAAGAAATTTAAAACAACCATCAAATAAATTACTAAAATATGTATAATTTGAAAAACCTCACCTATTTGCTCACAGCATCATTTGGCAAAAATTAAAATTGTATATTGTGACCTCGTAGGAACGCTTCAATTTGGCTTGTTCCTAAGCTGCCTTGCTGTTGCAGTTGCTGTTGCTGTTGATGCTGATGTTGATTAACGGTCGGTTGAAGATAGTACACTTGTTGTTGGGGTTGTGGTCTACTCTGTTGCCGTTGATCTTCTTGTTGTTGAGCTCTCACCTGCTGTTGTTGAGCGAAGAGCTGGGCGGAGTTTTGGTATTGCAATTCAGACTGTTGTGCTTGATAAGCTGACTGAAAATTAGAAAAAAAAAACATTCTAATTAAATATTTTAAATACTAGTTATTTTTTTTTCTTATTTAATTGTATTGGACATTTTTTAGAATATTTACGAAATTGATATTACTGGTATATATAAAAGGATATAAATTCCAATTCTCAAATGTAGATCAATTTAAAAATTAACAACATAAAGGAAATAGAAAAACTCTAAAGTCCGAATCACAGAATCAAGAGTCAAGATTTTCTGTTTGTTGCTATGAGTTCTAATAAGAACGAAATTGGTACAAAAATGACGTTCTTATTAGGAAGCAAAATCATACTACAGTTTTAAAATAATAGACAATGAGAAGATCTTAGGAATGTCATAAATCGAAAGATTTTCTTGCACTATAAAAATTATGCAAAAAAAATGTTTAAAATACATAATTGTTACTTAACACTATGATGTAAAATGCTTAAAAATATTTAATTATACAGGGTGTTCATTAAGTACTTGTACAAACTTTAAATAGTGAATCTTTGACTAATTCTAAGGCAAAAAGTTCATATGAACACGTGTCCTAAACCTCTTAACTTTTGTGCTACAGGGTGGTAAAGTTTTCAGAAAAAATCTATTTTTTCCAATAACTGTGAGACTATTGTAGATATCTTTACGAAATTTGGTACACGTATACTATGCATTAAGATGCATTTTTTGATGTACAAATTTATTTTTTCTACTAGTGTCGTCCATACCTACGGGGTTTGTATTGAATATTTTTGCAGAAAAAAATAGTATGCCACTGCTTCATCTTAAAACAAAAATTATTTTTGAAATCCTCATTTATTTTTAAACAAATTTAATCTCTTGAGTTTTTTCGTTCGATGCATAGTTTACGCTTTAAAAAATAAAATCCGTTTTAATTCAGAGTCAAATTGCTAAAATGTACAATTGTACATACATGCATAGCAAGCCTTGCAAACAATCGAGAGGTTTCCATGGTAGCGGAATCAGTCATGACAGTTTATTTAAAAAAAAGATCATGGTTTTTGTCATTTAAAAATGTATGTATGTAATAATTTATTGTCTCTATTGTGTTCAAAATGTACGAATATACCAATGCAGAAATGGCAGACATTCATTTCGTCTACGGAATGGCTCACGGTAATGCACAAGCTGCAAAAAGAATGTATCAAGCCCGATTTCCTCAACGGGTGGTTCCACATGTCCAAACTTTCATTAATATCCACGCAAGACTTTGTGAAACTGGCACCTTTAAAAAAACAATTGATATCCCAGGAAGGCCTGCGACAGTTCGAACAGTTGAAATTGAAGAAGCTGTGTTAAATAGAATTGAAGAAGACCCGCAAACTAGTACAAGGAAAATTGCTCATGAATTGAATATTACGCATACAATTGTGTGGCAAATTTTAAAATCTCAACAACTTTATCCTTATCATATTCAACGTGTACAGGCATTACTACCTAGAGATTTTCCTCTCAGAGTAGATTTCTCGTTTGGCTGCGAAATAAATTATTAACAACCCCGGATTTCTTAGGCCATGTACTTGTTACAGACGAAGCTTCTTTTTCTCGAAACGTCATCATAAACTTCCACAACAACCATATCTGGTCTGAGGATAATCCCAATGCTATAATAGAAAATAATTTCCAAGATCGTTTTTTTCTAAATATTTGGGTCGGAATTATCGGGGATCACCTTATTGGACCTTGAATTCTTCCACAAAGGCTAAATGGCAAAGAGTACAGAAGATTTTTGGAGCACGAGCTTCCTGAACATTTAGAAGAAATTGATTTGGCTACCAGAAACAGGATGTGGTTCATGCACGATGGCGCACCGGCACACTTTTGTTTGGCTGCACGTCAATTTCTGAACGAGAATTATCCTAATCGTTGGATAGGAAGAGCGGGACCGCAAGCCTGGCCTCCCAGATCACCAGATTTAAATCCTCTGGATTTTTTTCTGTGGGGTCACTTAAAGACACTAGTTTACAAAACATCCGTTCAAAATGAGCAAGATCTAAGAAACAGGATATTTGAATCGTGTGCCATTATTAATCAGACACCAGGTATATTCGAAAGAGTACGTCAATCAATGTTAAGGCGAATTGACGCATGCGTTGCAGTAGGCGCCGGGCATTTTCAGCAATTGTTGTAAATGTTATTAACTTATTTGTAAAAGTAGTTTAGTCTTAGTCTGTAAATAATCTAAGTTTATCACATAACAATATTGATCAATAAAAGACACATTTTTCACTTGTTCCATGCAGAATACTATGCGTCGGACGAAAACTATGCGTCGGAGAAAACAACTCATCAGACCAAATTTGCTCAAAACTAAATGAGGATTGTAAAAATATTTGTTATTTTAAGATGAAGCAGTGGCGTACTATTTTTTTCGGCAAAAATATTTAATACGAAACCCGTACGGGCGCCACTGGTAGAAATAATAAAATTATTTTTACATTAAAAAATGCATCATAATGCGTAGGAGACTTGTACCAAATTTCGTAAAAATATCTGCAATATTCTTACAGTTATTAGAAAAAAAAAATGTTTTTTCTGAAAACTTTACCACCCTGTAGCTCAAAATTTAAGAGGTTTAGGACATGTGTTCATATGAACGTTTTGCCTTAAAATAAGTCAAAGATTCACCATTTAAAGTTTGTACAAGTACTTAATAAACACCCTGTATATCTTGGAGATGAATTGCAATACTTAAATTTTTATGTACCTTATTCGAATTTTAAAACATAAAAATATAAAGATCACTTTAATACTTAATAAATTATAAGTAATTTGATTCACATTGACAACATAGCTGAGACATCCACTATATCAGTTTGTTACACGTTGCCATGTGTCAAGTAATTTGCTTTCTCTCGCATTTTTGACCACACAATAAAACGGGCACGTTTAAGTCACACTTCATATAGAAAATTCAATGTCGATAATATTTAATTTGTGAGTTTAATTGGTTAATTGAATTGTTGCTATTTATGAGCTTCGGAGAGAATTAAATAAACATAATATAATTCCCGGTAAATTATTTTATTTATTGTTTTTCTTTTAATATTGTTTAAATGTCACTTAAAATTAATTTTTTCGATTTTTATTAGATATTGAGATATCATATATAAACAAACTTAATTTAAACAAGTGAACCATTTCTTTTATCCTGTAGTGGTAACGCTTTGTACATAACTTAAAATATTTAATATTTTGTTAAATAAAAATAAATGTAAATTTAGTTCTCAAAAATTATTTGATTTTATATAAATGCCACAGAATGACAAATATTTTAAATTCATTTCCAACCTTCTAAAAAAAGCCCTCTTATTATCTTAAATATTTCACATTGAAACAGAAAGTGATGTGTGTATCTTCTTTCAGCCAAACATCTAAATGTTATCTCCGTGTAAAATGCTATTTTAAAATATCACCTCGTTTTACATGGGACTATAAAAAAAGCAATAAAAATGAGCACAGTTATATATTTCAGAGTAAAGTTATAAAACTTATTGATAATAAAATAATATATCTTCAGTAAGGGGTGACAACTTTGATTACTTAGAATGGAAAATGAGGAAAGATTATTTTCGAAACAGCGCGTTTAATGTTCCTTTGTCGTTGTTGATCAATAAAAATGTCATTAAGAAGTTGGAAGATTCTGTTTAAAAATTCATCGTTTATATCAACGTGATTTTCAAAATTTTATGTAGCGTTACTTCATTTGAGGTTTTACTACCAACCAGAACGAAAAATACCATAGGGAATTCCGACGGGTTTAAAACTACAGAAAGCATTGGAGCTAGAGTATTCTCCAATAACCCCAGGCTTACTCATGCAACAGGAAAACCTACCTCAGTATTTCAGACTAAGATTTATGCAATATTTCAATGAGCAAGAACACACAATACGAGCCCTAACACAAAAATGTTGGGTCATCAACTGATTTTGCGAAAAAGTTTGAAAATGTATTGTTTACATCATATTTATGAAATTGTTTTCAAATAAACTAATATTGATTAATAAAACTAAACTAATGTTGATAAAAATGCAATATTTGCTGACACATAAATCTTCGGACACGTTAGTAAAACAAATAATAGCAAGCCATGGAAAAAAAAAAGTTTTTCTATTTTGACATTTTAACTTGTCTGGTTTACATTTTTATAAGGTACGTAGGTTACGTTTAAGGAAAATCTCATATTTACGCAGTGAAATCATTGGTTTAGGCAAAAGAAAAGCCGTTGCTGACGGAAAAACAAAAGAAAAGACGATTACCGTGGGCAAAAAAACGGGCAATGTGGACTTTTGAAGACTGGAAAAGAATAATTTTTAGCGATGAATTAAAATTTGATGTTTGCGTGGGTGACCATCGATCACGTGTTATAAAAAACAAAAATGAAGCCTTTCACAAAGACTGCCTAAAGAGAAAAATAAAATTTCCATCAGGTGTTATGGTATAGGGAAGCATGTCTGGTTTCAGTGTTGGAAAACTGCACTGTATAGACGGAATTGTAAACGCAGAAAAATATCAGAACATTCTTGAAACCAATTTGTTAATGTCAATTCCAATTTTATCACCTGATGGAAACTTTATTTTTCAACAAGATGGCGCCTCTTGCCATACAGCCAAGACCACAAGAAAGTGGCTGCAGGACAACAATATTTACGTCCTTGACTGGTCCTCTAGTAGCCCTGATCTAAATATAATCGAAACTGTATGGCACAAGATGAAGCAGTAATTAAGAAATGATCAACAGCGCAACATTTCTGATTTGCTGGTAAAATTACAAAATATATGGGATTCTTTTACCGCGGAAGATTGCGAAAAGCTTGTTAAAACTATGCCTGATAGAATAAAAGCTGCTATTAAGGCAAAGGGAGATGCAACCAGCTATTGATGTGATTTGTCCGAACATTTATATATGAATAAAATAGGTTTATAGGCACCTAATATGTCGACTATGTCACAAGGAACCAGAAATAGCCAAACATATATTG